TATATATATATACTGTATATATACGGTATATACTGTATAGGGAGAGATTTTCATAATCATTCAAATCAAGGTAGCAGTTACCTGTATTTTACCATTCCTTATTGTTTACCTACTGTACATCAGTGACTATATCTACTTGTAAAAGAATGACACTTAATGAGTTTGCTTAAACTATTAAAATAGCTTAAAAATAAAACATCGTTTTAATAAATGTTAATGTACTTATGTTTTTTTTTTTTATTATGAAGCAATAATGTATATTCACAGCTTCTAGTTGCTTAATTTTACCATACCTCACACTGGAAAGGCTTCTCTCCTGAATGTTGGAGAGAGTGGACCTTCAGTGACATGCTTCTTTTAAATGACTTGCCACATGTCTCACATGTAAATGGCATCTCTTTTGTGTGGGCTAAAGATGTGTAGAACAAGACAATGATTAGTCAGATAATTAAAGTTTACTGTTTAAAGTATAAGACTTAGGGCTGATACAATAAATCGATGCATCGCGAATCGAGAAATGATTCTGCATCGATTCTGAGATTTTCCGAAGGCATCGCGCGATTCTCTCTTGAATCGATTCTGAGCTTAGTTTTTAACAGCAGATGGCACTGCGTGCTTTAGAAATAGCCGAATTCTGCTTACTTCCAGTTCCTTACACACGCACCATTTGAACCTAAAATAATCATTCATAAAGTTCGAAAAGGTTGAAGCGAAGTACAAGGATGTTTACATTAAATCTGGCATCATAAAAGCCGATGTGCAAATACATTTAACCACTTACATTACTCAGCCGAAGTAATGTAAGCATTCTTCTTCGTGAGCATTTGAGTGTGCGGCTAAAAACTAGCCTAGACCGCCATCTGCTGTTAAAAACTAAGCTCAGAATCGATTTGAGAGAGAATCACGATGCATTCCGAAACTCTCAGAATCGATCCACGAATCGCGATGCATCGATTTATTGTCAAAGCCCTAAAAAGACTAGGAGTAAAGGTTTGAGAGAGGAAACTTTCATTTAATTTAATTTAACTTTAACACAACTCACCAACCATGTGCTTGCGTACATGAGCCATTGTGTAGAATTTCTTCTCACAGATCTCACAAGTGTACTTCTTCTCGGCATAGCCATGAACAATCTTATTGTGCTCATGGAGCGACCAGAGCTTCCTGAAAGCTTTTCCACAGGTTAAACACTACAAAATGAGACAAAGACCAGTAAAAACAAATCTTGTCCATTGCATTGAGTTTTTTGTGTTTGCATGGGTTTGAATGTTCCTGGGTCAATTATTTTATTGCATTATTTCTTTATCGCAATTGTCCGCAATAAAGAAAAGGAAAAATGGGTAACACTTTACAATAAGGTTGCATTTGTTAACTATATTTAATACATTAACGTTAACTAACAATAAGCAATACATTTATTACAGTAGGCTATTTATTCATCTTTGTTAACATTAGTTAAAAAAAA